CGGCATTGGACCGTGAGCGCATCCCTGAGTACAACCTCACCGTGGTGGCCGAGGACCTGGGCTCACCGCCCTTCAAGACCGTCCGCCAGTACACAGTGCGGGTGAGTGATGAGAATGACAATGCACCACTCTTTGCCAAGCCCCTCTACGAGGTGGCCGTGCCAGAGAATAACCCTCCGGGTGCCTACATCACCACCGTGGTGGCCCGCGACCCCGATCTTGGCCACAATGGTAAGGTCACCTACCGTCTCCTGGAGACACAAGTCATGGGGGCACCCATCTCCACCTATGTCTCGGTGGACCCCGCCACTGGGGCCATCTATGCCCTCAGAACGTTCAACTATGAGATCCTCAAGCAGTTGGACCTGAGGATCCAGGCCACTGATGGTGGATCCCCTCAGCTCTCCAGCAGCACCCTTGTCAAAGTGAGGATGGTGGACCAGAATGACAACCCTCCCGTCATCATCCACCCGGTGCTCACCAATGGGACAGTGGAAATCGGCGTGTCCAGCAAGACATCCCGCGACTCCCTGGTGGCCCAAATCAAAGCTCGAGATGCAGATGACGGGGCCAACGCCGAGGTCACCTTTGCCTTCCTGGAGGAGCCCCAGCAGGACCTTTTCACCATCAACCCAACTACTGGGGACATTGTGCTGAGGGGCGACCTCTCTGAAGAGCTGGGGCAGCTGTTCAAGGTCATCCTCACGGTGACAGACAACGACCCCCCCTGGCCACGACCGCCACAGTCAACTTCCTGGTGACTGCCACTGCTCCTTCTAGTATCCAGGAGGTAGCCAAGCCCAGCTCCTGGGAAGGAAAGGCTTTGCAGTGGGACATCCCTCTGATCGTGATCATCGTCCTGGCGGGCAGCTGCACCCTCCTCTTGGTGGCTATAATCACCATCGCCACCACCTGCAACAGGCGCAAGAAGGTCAACGAGAAGAAAAGCAACGCTTCCTTGAAGGAGCAGATAGACATCTCCCACCTGGAGAAGGGCCGGCAGGAGGAAGGCAGCCAGAGGGGGAACGTGTTTGAGGTACGAACCTTTCCCAGCAAAACCTCTTTCACCAGCCCCGACCCTTCTCCTGCTGCCGAAGAGATCTCCGCCGCTGAGAGCGGCAGCGACAGCGCTTGCCTCTACGAGGGTCAGAAGAGGCTCAGAGGACCGAGCGGGGAGGTAAGGTCCTGCTGCAGGGAAGGGGGGGCAGGG